CAGGGAAAGGATTAGAATCAGTATCATCAAAACAATAAAATGTGAAAATAACCTAGCTTCTCCCATGTCCGGGAGGTTCTTGTCACTGGAGTATGTATTTAGAGTTGGGCTCATCATTCCTGTGACAGTGGTGGCTATAATAGATGAGATATTTTAGTAATTTTTAAAAATCTCAGAATTACAGGGTTCTTCACTTGAAAGCTTTGGAAACTTTGCCTAGGAAAATCCATCTTAACATTTTGACACAATTCTGGTGTTTTAAAGATTTTTTTTTATGGATAGATGAATGAAATAACTTCCTAACTCTTAGAACTCAAATGATTCCAGTTAGTCTCCTAAGTCACTATTTATACAGGACCACCGGTTTCATGGTTCAGTAAAATATCTTTTTGTTTATACAACAGTATTTGTTAAACATTTGCTATACATGTAGACAAAGTATGAGCGAGAGTAGAAGACATTTCAACATGAAGTAAGGGGCTGGTGCAATGGCTAAGTGGTCTAAAGCGCCTACTTAGAACAAGCTTAGCAAAGCACAGGGACCGCGGTTCAATCCCCCAGCACCACATGCCAGCCAGCCCCGCCCCCTGGTGGGCTGAGCTGGCCACACACACACACACACACACACACACACACACACACACACACAAATAAATAAAATTTAAAAAAAACATGAAGTAAGGACAGGAAAACCATTTACCAAAATAACAGTGTAGTCAGATGGGGAAGCATGGTCTAAATTAGGGGCAAGGTCTGCATTCCACAAATGCTATTATTTTATTAATTTTAAGAATATACTTTCATTGAAATCTCGGAATTCTTCTCTTGCGCATACAGCTTCATAACAAGTCAACTGACTTTTCTTCTAATCAGATTGTGACCCCTAAGTAGCATTGTTGATACACGTTTTGGAGTTGCCACTACTTACCATACTGTTAATTTGTTTCACAAAGCTTTTATTACAGACAAGAGTAAACTGTAACTTAGTGTGTTTGAACTGCCATATGTGAACTTTGGCCACATTCAGCACAGTTCTTGAAACTCCAGAGGAAAGACAGTGGAGAGTGAAGACAGGAGTCAGTACACAAAAGCTGAGGTCAGGAGAAGCCCTCTTTCCTGATCGGAGAAAGGAACTGCCCAGTACTTGCTGTGTGTTTATTTATACAATCAACATATGAAAAGGTTCATGGTAGAATCTGGCACAGGGAGGATATTTAATGCCTTGGGAGCTTCTTAGGGAACAAGAGGCAAGTGTCTGTATTATCTCAAGTGAAAGTCAAGTCACTCTGTGCCTCAGCTCCCTGTGCTGTATAGTTCTTATAGGACTCTGCCAAACTCACGAGAAACAGTGGCCATATCCTAGATGCCTGAGGTTTCAACAGCTTCATTCACAACATCTCCCTTTTTCAGTTTTGTAGCTGAAGCTTCTGGTGACGATGTCTTAAGGTAAGGGTGAAGATTTGTCTTTGGAAGATTCTGCAGAGGATGAGCAAATTATTAATACAGCACAGCTATAAGGGTACTTAAAATCATGATGATTCCATGGTGTGGCACATTGAAAGAGTCAAGTCCACTTTGTAGATCAAGTAGAGACCTAGCTACTTGATCTGAAGTGGGAATACTGACTTGGTCATGTTGAAGAGCCATAGTTTTTGATGGAGTTTTTTCAAGTCCAAAGTTATATTACTGTGATATAATATACGCATAAAGTGTGCCTTCACTTTTTCCCATCCTTATTGAGTTTCATTGTATGGCAGAGCCGTCACATTTATGTGGCTAAATTCTGCATGGCCTTGTAGCCACTGATGATATTGAAGGGCTTTGACTTGATAACCTCTATCTAAAACAGTTGCTGCAAGGGTATTGGCTTGTACTGTTAGTTTTAAATTGATATCTTTTGGGGTCTAAAGCTATGATGTGTTTTTTTTGCCAGATGATTGACAAAATGTGTAGTTTGTATACTCTGGGCTAGGGCTACAGGTGAAGTCACAGTAGTGGCAAGGAGAGTAATTAAAGAAATAATTCCCAGAGTTAGAAGGCCTACTATTCTTTTTAGGTGAGTCAATTGCTGCTCAATGTCTTTGAGGACTTGTAGACCTTGATCAAAGTACCATGCTACAGAGATATTAATAGGAATCATAACCAATGGTGGACAGTACAACCTTAAACTATCTTTAATCCCTACTTAAGGTATTTTTAAAAATGTATTTAGTACAGGGTTTACAGGGCCTCACTACACAGATTGAACTCATGATGATCCTTCCTGTTTTTCAGCCTCCCAAGTGCTGGGATTACAGGTGTATGCCACTACGCCCAGTTTCCTTTGCCGTCTTAGCGTGCCCAGGGTAGGGCTGGCGTGGCAGGCCGGAGATCAAACCCCATTTCCTGAATCTGCCTAAGCAGGCACTTTAATCCACTGAGCTATCTGGCTGGCCCTTAAGGTATTTTTTTTTTTAAATGTATTTGGTACAGGGTCTCACTATGCAGCCTGTACTTAGTGATGCTCCTGTTTTCAGCCTCCCCAGCACTGGGATTACAGTCATGTGCCATCATGCCTAGACTCAGTGGCCTGCTCAGCGTGCCCACGGGTGGGGCCAATGTGGCCATGTGGTACTGGGGATTGGCCCCTGGCCCCTGTGCTTGCCTAAACAGACGTTTAGTCTGCGGAGCTATCTTGCCAGCACTTACTTAAGGTATTAATGCAGGAAGTAAGATTACAAATGTTGAACTAACATAGTAATAATTGTCCTCTTGTATGATATTGACACTTCCAACCTGAAGAACATCAAGATTGTATGCACAGGCTTGGGAACCAATATTTTTGAGGACCTACATGATTAGTATCTTTCAGGTTATCACTAGAGAGTAATGGAAGAGAAGCTAGTGGTCAATGCCATAGACACTTTTGGAGGTATTTTTGAGAATCCATAAGTTCTAGAAACTTTAAAGACAGATAATGCCCTAAAATATTATGCACAATGTGGGATGAATCCATAGTAGTCTCATTTGTGGTAGTCATGCTAAATTGATTACTACAGCATTCCTCCCAGGGCACCAGCTTTTCTTGTGGCACACACTGAGTGGTACTGTGGACAAAGTAAGCGGATGGGAATAATTGGTGGCTTTTGAGGACAGATTGAAATTCGTTAGGAGGAATTCATCATGGCTGACTCCCGATGAATTATGGGTAATTACATTTATGTTATAACTTGAGTAGACAAGCACAGAGAAGACGATCCAACACAGAGAGGAAGGCAGCCACTTGACCAGTATAATTAAGTGATAAATATTTTTGAAGAATATCCAAGAAATTGGGATTGATTTGTGAAAAAACAGATAAGGAAGCAGGAGTCTTTCAAAGTAATGGACTAAGGTGGATCAGGAAAAAATGTTAAATAGGCAGTACCATGTGAAGCTGCTACCTAAAAAGAGACCAGGGTGAACATAGCCAGGAAAGTAGGAGCAGGGTTGTTAGGATTCCTGCTCTTAGTTGCCATCTCCTGGGCAATCTGGGTCAATTAATTGGTCTAGATTGGGTATGGACCCATTCCTTCTTTTGGCTATGCTGTGGTCTCTGAGGCATCTGGAAAGGTGGGGCCATCTCCTTTTTGGGGTTTGGATTGATGATACTGCTGGAAAGCATGTTGTGGTGACCAGACAGACTATTCTGTGTTCTCTGGAAAGACATAGGCATACTCTTGGCCCTATGTAAATACTGGGCTAGGTCTCCTCCATTGTCCAGTATTAAGATCCTTCCAAAGGACTCTTCCAAGCTGGTGAGATAGCTCAGCAGTCTAAAGTCCCTGCTTAGGCAAGCTTAGGCAAGCACCGGAATCCCGGTTTGATCCCTGGCACCACATGCTGTGCCAGCACTGTCCCTAGGGCAGGATGCTCTGGCCACCAAAAACCGAAAAAACAAAAAAACCCCCAAAACAAAAAACAAACAAGCATACCCAATCTAGACCAATTAATTGACCCAGAATGCCCAGGAGATGGCAACAGAAAAACGCCTTTCCTAGCTTCTTTTCTTAACCTGATTGAATTACATTTCGGCTATAGTCTCATCCTGAGTAGGATTAAAAAGTTATTAGAATATGATGCCAACTGAAGTCTGTTATGGGTTGTGAATTTATAGAGAAGAATTCCCCTTTTTGTTTTGGTGATTGAAGTTTGAGCATATGGTGAGCACATTTAATAATTCCTTGACCTTGAGAGTTATAGGAAATTCCTCTGGTTAAGGAAATGCAGAAAGCATAAATGGGGCTATTGTCAGTCTCAAGTCTGGGGGCAGCCAAGGGTACCAAAAACATCCAAGCAATGAGCAATGACATGTCCAGCCACCTTGCTAGTATGGGCAAAAGCATGGTGAATCCTGAGGAAGTATTTACTGAAACATAGACCCAGTAGAGAGAATCAAACTCAGGAATATGAATGATGTCTGTATGCCAGAGATGGTTGGGGTGTAACTCTTGGTGGTTAACCTCCATAGTGAGTGAGAGAAGATGAATTATGCATAAAGAGCACTGTTTAACTGTTTGTTAAGCCAGTTTTTGGGTTAAAGTGAATAGTGTGCACAAAGCAGATGCATTTTATAAGGTGGCATGGGAAGCAGAGGCTGTTGAATGGCGTCTGAGAGAGTAGGATTCACATTAACCAGCAGC